CGAATTTTCGCATTTTGTTTTTTTCTCGCTTTTTTCGCGAGCGAACGAAATGCGAAAAAATGCTAAATTTCCGGGGAATAATTTTTGTTATTGACGAAACGATTTACCCTTTTCGCTGGAAACCAAATCCATTATAAAGATATGTATAGACTGTAGAGGTAAATTTCAGTTTCCTCCAATCACAGATTAAATAACAAATACAAATACATAGATATGTCGGCAGGTATAATTTTTTGTCAGGAGAAAGGTGGCTTGTACTTGTACAGCAACATATATGACATTTTATCCTCTGGAAATGTTGGCGTTGCTCACACCCACACGGCCCGCTTATAGATATGATTCTATCTATCTATCTACACTGAACTCGGCCACAGTACAAATTTTATTTTGGTAATTATATATCCATGGTTGCTCATTTATCACTATGTTTTTTACGTGCACTTTCGTTTTTTTCAAAATTCGTTTTAAATTTATGGAAATTTGATAACAATTGTTTGAAAAGTTGTCGTTTTGAAAAATTTTAAACGATCGTTTGAAAACTTGTTATTTTGAAGAAAAAAAAACCGTTTTACGTTTTAAAACGGAAAACGATCTTTTTCGTTTATTATTTTAAAACGGAAAACGATGTTCATGAACTTTTTACTCCAGAGACTTAATTTCATGTTTATTTTTAATGTTTTTAAAAAAAGACAACAATGAAGTCTTCATGCATAAAAATACTTGGCCCCTACCTAACAATTAAATTTTGTTGGTCAACTAGATTAACATAGCAACACTTAAAGTAGTTAATTTAAAGAAAATCAAATTGCGTATTTCCTACAAATGCAAGGGAAGCAGGAGAAGAAAAGAAAACAGAAGGAATTAAACAATATTCTATAGATGCCTCTTCTTTCAGTCATTCGGAGAGAAACAAACATGAGTAGTTTATAGAATTCAAAAATAATTATTTTCTCTACCAACATTATATTTTAAACAGTTCTTTATCTCTCTACTCTCTATTAATTAATTTAGACTCTTGAAAGTATAAACTATTGTACAGGGTGTCCCAAAAAACATGGGAATTCAGTGACGAATTCGATATCGTCTTTTCAAATAATTCTTCGATTTAGTATAGTGATACCTACTGAGAAAGCTGTAATCTGTAAGAGTTTCGTCTTCTATGTTTACATTTTGTTTGTTTATGTTTTGACTGCAACCGGTTGTACTTAGTAAAACAAGAAAATTACAGTATACAAACAGAGTAAACTTGTCCGTATTCACTGTTCATCTTGCGGAGACATTATAGACACATCTTTGTAGTCTTTTACCCTTTTCAGAAAATAAACTCTAGCAGACATAATAATATTATGGCTTTTGAAATTAGGTATTACAATCCTAATTCATAACAAAGACGATATCGAATTCGTCACTGAATTCCCATGTTTTTTGGGACACCCTGTATTTAAATAACTTGTATGCATTCATTAAGATAAAATAAAGAATGAAGTATTTAGGATGCATGGAGTCTAATTCCAAATACGCTGGGTTCAACCCGTTCGCCAAGTTTATGTTGAGCTCAACGGCTATAAAAGAAACCAAATCATAAATCCCAATAATTGTATTTTTTAAAAGATACAAGTATAATTTTGATAAATATTTTTAGACTATGCATTAAAGTGTTGTCTATACATTTTCGCCAGGAGGTTTCTACCAGCTTGCATATCTATGCAAATATAATCGATGTGTAGAATAGCATGTCCGATTCACAGCGGTACCCTTCACATATATAAACAAAGGTCTTAAAATTTACACAACTTTGCATAGCAGTCCGGATCTATGTACCTTTATTTTATAATGGATGAGGTAGAAATACATATTATACTTTATTATAAAATGTTTTTAACTCCTATACTCTTTCCTGTCTTTAATAGACAGAAATAACCACTCCTCTATAAGACAATTTTACAAAATCAACGATTTTATATAAAAAAGAAATGTTCATGTAAATCTATACAAGAATGTCTAGACTAATTAGAATTTGTCTCCTCGCGCAGTTCTATTGTTATTGAGCATCTTGAGAATTTGCCAAATTGGTGAGAATAGATTTCATTATTCTTATTTATGTATTCTCATTATTGGAATGTATTCCTATATTTCAACTAGGAATTCTCGCACTATTTTTTCATTAAATTTAGTTTTTCTAAAATTAATATGGTGACGGTGTATTTTTTTAAAAATCCCGATTAGTTTATATTTGTCCTAATAATTGTAATAAGGGTTCTAAAACACATTTATCTCCCTAAAAGGATATGTATCATTTTGTGTACTGTCCAGGTTTGCCGTCTACTTCCTCTATCTGCTTAAAAGTCGGTACGGTACGGTAAATGAACTGGAATTTTTACTGCTGAAGGAATGGAGTCTTTGCCACAAACTCTAATACCTTTATCTTTCCAATTTTTTCCATTATAACTCCTCTTTTTTAAGAGCTATATTGTTTTGAATATATAATATGCACCAAAAAAATGCTTTTTGAAATTTGGTAGAAAAGCCACGAAGTCACAAAGTCGTACAAGCAATTTACATAAATGTGAACTTTTTCTTATGTTTAACAAGATTAATCCCTCTATATACCACTTAAAAATCATGTTTGATATATAGAGAAAAAATATTGAGAATATTGTTTGTAATATGATATATTTGTATTATCTTATTCCTATCATATACAGAAGCAGAACATCAGCAATGATGTGTTGTTACAATTGATTATGTTAAGAAACACTTCGGTTGCATCATATACACAGTTTTATTTACATCTCTCTACATACCATACAATCGGAAAACATAGTGAATTTAGAGATACAGGGTGTCACATTTACCATTTTATTCTAATTCAGCTGACACGTTTAAATACAGGGCTGCCCACAAACAATGATGCATTAATGACGACCTTTTGTTATAGGTAAACTAAATGAGTTAGCAAAGAAAGCAAAATGTTTGAAGCAAGAAGGAACCAATTTGAAAAAAAACTTAAGAAATTCTGTACAGTCGTATCTAAAGTCTCATTCTGTGCAGGTAACCCTGTATCTCATAATTTTCAGATTTAGAGGAAATGTAAAATAGATTTTCATTTACAGTTAACTTACTGTTCCCCAGGTAAGTTTTTAAGGTATGTAATTTAAGAAATGAAATGCTGTAAAACTGTATATTTAAAACGGATTCAGATTCCAAGAATATATATTGCATTTTTTCCTCGCCAATATTCAAATAGATGGCCCACTTTTATACAAAAACTCAACACTATAAATGTAGCACAGAAGAGATATAGCAAGGTTCAAGGTTGGGGCGATAAAATTGATTGCGAAAATTGCAAATTTATTGGAAGGGGTAATTGGGTAATTCTATGTTATTATAGTGTCTTTATATAATAACATGATTGTATTCAATCCACGGTTACAAATAGTACGCAAACCTACGCGTGCTGTTTGCAATTTTTTACAATTTCATTTCTTTTTTATACTGTATGCATTTATATAAACAAATATTGCAGTATGCTTAATTTTGGCACGGATATTTGTTTATATCTTAAAATATACAAACATATCTGCATATAATCATATTAACGTTTTAGTGAACGTACAACTATAATCATTATCTCATTCTCGTTAATTTTGTTTATATAACATATGTACCATACTTTTATACTTTATATCCCTCTTTCAAGATTGATCTAAAACAGAGTCTAAAACTAAAGAACGAAAAGTTCTGACTTAAATTTTAAGTTCATGGTTAAATGCCACTTCTGACTTAATATAAACCTGAACTTTAACCATGAGGTTAAATATTTAACCCTGTCTGTGGTTGAATATTTAACTCGCCGAAATCGACGAGTTAAAATTGAAACAGAGGTTTAAATTATCTTGAAATCCTGCATTTTCCCTATTTGTCTATTATTCAATCATCATTCAGCTGCAGCTGAGGAAGCGGCATTCAACTTTACGATATATTTAAAAGTGAAAACCTTGTTAAAGAAATTTCACGTTTTAGATAAATTAATTTTTGGATGTAAACCCAAAAAACGGTTGTAACTCGTAATATATGTTTTGTTTTCGGTTACGTAAGAACAGCTGATTAGCGATGGTTATGTAATATTCTCCGTAAATCCTTTTCTCTGATTGGTTCAGATTTTTCCCGGGAAATTCAAATTTAAAATTGAGAAAGTTTAATATTTAAGTAGCTATTCATTATTTTACAGAACTTTTAACCTCGAACTTAAAATTCGCGCATTCTTCAGTTTTAGACTCAGGTTTACCTTACTCAAAAGGACGATCAAAATAACTATTTATAACACTGTTGTTTTGGTTCGCAGTGTTATAAAGTTTTTGGACAGAAATTTTCTCTTTATCGAGAAGGTTTAAGCCTTTTTAGTACCTTCGAGAAAAAGAGAAAATTTAAGTACAAGAACTTTATAGCACGTCGTGCCAAAATAATAGTGTTATAGGTAATTTTATGGAACGTTTGTGTACTTGTCTTATTTCAATGGCTGTTTCTATATCTTATAAGCTTTGAAACAAATAATATAAAGTGGATTTCAATTTTATTTTTATTTCACTTGAAAAAAATATTTTGGAATTATCCTAACTTTTTGGAGAAAGCCTGGGAACCAATTAAAACTTTATAGTACACGTGCTATAATGTACAGCTAATTTAACATTATAGCAATTGATGATTACTTTATAGCACGTTCATGATGAAATTCACGATGAAGTGAGTAATAATGATAGAGTACACTATAGTTTCATAAGGTTGAATATAACCTTTAATATTCTGCTAAATGATTTGGCAAGTTGTCTGTCGAAGAAAACCAACAATGCAATAAAAAAGTCTGCAAAAATTCCAACCAAGGCGTATCTAAAGTCTTATCCTTTGTTGATAACCTAACCTAGTAGAAAAAAGAAATTGTTAAGCGCGAATTGGTAAAATAAAACCAAAACTCGTAGTCTAAAGAAATCCGTTTTATTTACCTAGATTCCATCTCAAGTAACCGTTCTTTGTATCCCGCGTCCAGACTTGAAGTATGCAACTGTATAAAAGTTTAAACCATTCTTTGCTGTATGGAAACACGTTTCTGTAGATCAAATCTGCATAAGAAAAAGAATATCAGGTTTAACTTAATACAAATTTAGATAAGTATAAATGTTCAAAATTGAGGATTCCAAAATGCCTCAGACTCTAATGCGGTTTACGAAACGTTACGGGGCATACTCCTTTTACTGCGCAAGCGGGAAACTCAAAAATAGAACCAAACAAAAGGTCATCATACTTACATATGCTGGCGTCCTGATAGATGAAAGATATAAAAGGAATCTAGTCCAACCAAGCCATTACAAGAGTCTGAAAAGATATACCTGAGAAACGACTCGATTTTAGAACTGAGTTTACTATTGTTGACGGCTCGAGTTCTCTAAATAGAGTGAGTCGAATTTTGCTTCTCAGGTAAATCCCGGTCCAAACTGACCAATAGTAAACTCGCTCTCATGGTGGAGCAGTTTCCGACCAATAGGAGAGTTACAGCTGGGTTGATACAGTGAGTCCTACTAAAAAATGAGTATCTTTCGTTTATTTTCGAAAACTCTGAAAACACGCGTAACAGAAATAAATTCCTATTTGAGACAAAAAATTTCTGTGGCAAAAGGTCTGTTGAAAAATATTAAATCATGTGAGACTAACAAAACATTTTGAGCTGTAAAGAATTAAAATCAACAACCCTGGCGGTCCAATCATACATTTTGTTGGCTCAAGTTGTACAGGCAATAGGGGATTAAGCACTGCATTTCTTAGGACATTTTTTCAGCGGACTTAATTTAAAATGTTTATATTTTTCACGTCTTTTTTCCATTCTTTACAACATTACAATATAAATAACAAAAATCTTATTACTAAATACATTTATTGTTTAAAAAAAAATATTGTTATTACATTTTCAGCTTATAAATAGGTTAGAAATCTTTAAATCCTTGTATCACTTTAAAATTGGGAAAATTCTAATAAATTCTGATAATACACTTTAAAGCAATGCTTCCTTTTAAAGAGTTCATTTAATGGTGGCATTAGACCAAATAAGTTTTAGCAAAAACTTGAGATATCTTTGTTGTTCTTTTTAACATATTCTGTTTTTTAAAAAAACTTCCATTTTCAAGTATTTGCATGAATTTCTAAAGCAAATAAATAGGCAAAAGGAATTGAGTCTTTGTAACAAAATCAAATATTTAAACCCCAATATCTTTAGAACCCGATGTTGTAAACCTTTGATATTTCAAACTCTGATTATTTGATTTAACAGAATTCATAGTTTGAAATATCAAAGGTCTACAACATTTGGTTCCTAAGATATAGTGATTAGAAAATCAGAGTTTGTGACAAAGACTCATTTCCTTTTCCCCAAAATTGATAAAATCTCTTTGTTCATCCGAAAACTATTGTGAATCATTGATGGCGATGCAATGACAGAATAAAGATTACAAGCTCCTGTGGAAAATTTCCGGAAATTAAATCCGTTTTTGTTTCGGACAAGGATCCCAACACCTTTTCTTTCTTTTCTTTTCGGAAGGAAGTTCTGAAATTTACTGAGTAATTGTCACAATTATCCTTACTAATCCCTTTATCTTTGCAATCGAATGTTGTAGACCTAAAATATTTCAAACTATAAATTATGTTAGCTCAAATAATAAAAGTCTGAAAATTTAAACGTTAACACCATCAGGTTGCAAAGATAAAGGTATTAGAAATGTTGAGCTTGTGGTGAAAACTCAATTCCTTTCATAAATGATAAAACTATAATTTAGGATACAATAGTTTTTAGAATATGATTTCTTGCTTGTCCTAGAACTTTAAACGCTTCAGCAGTTCCAACAGCCTAAACAAACATGGATGAAAATTTAAGAATGAATAGTTAAAATCTTAATTACGTTGATGGACGCTAATTCATTGGGTAATGCTTCAGAATAAAGAGAACAAAAGAGAAATGTTCAGGTAAATTAAAAGGAAAAGGTTTGTGTTGAAAGGTTTAACAAATTTTGTCTGATACTGTACACATTTTACGATTATACCACACTGCGCACATTCAACATATCTAAAATAATAAAATAAATAATCTAGATCAGGTCGGATTTAATAAATATAGGGAGAAGTAGTTGAACTAGTTTTGGGTTAAAAATAATTGACTACTCCGAATTGGTTAAAAGTGTTCTCTATATGCAGAATGAACAACTTAAAAGTAGGAAATATATTTCGATGTGTTTAACGAAGTTTTTGGAAAAAGTATTTTTTGCTCCAATGATCAAATATTGACAATAATTTATATTTAAAGGGAGTGACCGGCTATGTAAGGTAGTTGAACTATGCAGTGTTGGGAGAAACTTCTTTCGGATTCATTTGAGACATATTAAACTTTTTAAACATCTGTAAATCCTAAATTTGAGCGCAAATTCGACGTTTAAAACTCCTACTTCGGGGTGGATACGTTTTCAGACAGCACTGGTTTGGCCAGTTTTGCTGGTGTACTGTGTTTCTACCTCTTTGTTCTAGTTTTCCCAGGGATTTCAGCGTTTTTTTAGTTTAAGGGATCGACGCTAAGTTAAAAAATTTTGCAGATTTTTCGTCAAAATAAGAAAATCATTAATTAATTATATAAGTAGAAATAATGTATGTTCAGTCATCTCTAAGTCTCATTCCTTGTGGTTAACCCTGTCTTATACATAAATCATAGAAAACATTATATAAAACATCATTTTGCGATGTAATAAGATATTTATCGTCGATATCCTCTCAACCCTGTCTCATATATAAAGGGGAACAGCTAATATTAGTTAAATTAAACTTACGTGTTGTACACTGCACACTTTAAAATGCACAGTAGGCAAAGAATTTATTGAAAAAAAATCTATTTTTTATCGTTAATATACTTATTTTTATAAAGACCTCGTAGAACGAGATGTAAAAATAGAAAGGAAAAATGTACCTGAGTTTTGTACAGCTGTTTACTCTATGTTTTGATGAGAAAGACCTCGTAGAACGAGATGGAAAAATAGAAAAATGTACCTGAGTTTTGTACAGCTGTTTGCTCTATGTTTTGGTGAGAAAGACCTCGTAGAACGAGATGGAAAAATAGAAAAATGTACCTGAGTTTTGAACAGCTGTTTACTCTATGTTTTGATGAGAAAGACCTCGTAGAACGAAATGGAAAAATAGAAAGGAAAAATGTACCTGAGTTTTGTACAGCTGTTTACTCTATGTTTTGATGAGAAAGACCTCGTAGAACGAGATGTGAAAATAGAAAGGAAAAATGTACCTGAGTTTTGTTCAGCTGTTTACTCTATGTTTTGATGAGAAAGACCTCGTAGAACGAGATGGAAAAATAGAAAGGAAAAATGTACCTGAGTTTTGTCTGGATGAAGTAGTACAGCTAGTTTTCTAAAAAAAAAAACTTTAAGAAACGAATTTTCAAGTTCTCTGTAAAAGCGTTTATCTGCTACACAAAAATTAAGTCTTGCAAAAAACTTAAATTTTCTAATCCCTTTATCTTTGCAACCTTTGCTAAAATTTAAAACTCAGATTATTAATGAATAACAGAATTTATAGTTTGAAAAATCTAAGGTCTACTACATTTAATAAAGAAACTCAAGGATACCTTCTAGTTTATTATATTTCTGATTCAATATTTTCTACAATGTTGGTCCAGTCAGGGGTGAAATTGTTAGAAAAGTATTCAATAATGAAACATAAGAGAAATATATAAACATAATGAAAAATAGTATGTTTTCTACAAATATTGTTAATATTTGATTACAATTAAAAATACGATGGATTAGACCCAAGATCGGAATATATTACAACGTTACTGCAGTTCAAATAGAAAATACGAGAAACTTATCCTTCGGTAATGGAAATGGAAAGCATTAATGGAGTTCTAATTCATATCTGATCAGATAAAATGTTCAAATCGGGCATTACCATCTTTGCATGAAGGGTCACTTGAAATTACGCTAACAGTCCTTTAAGGGCGACAAAAAATAAAATGAGTCGATAAATCATTTGCAAAATCCAAGTGACACATTAAAGTCATCTTGGTCTCAATAATTGCATAAATCATGATGCATAATTTTCATAATTGTGCAGATCGGTTGAGGAAAGTACCTAATAAGTACCTAATATCGTCTAAACTATAATATGTGAGCACTGTTAACCTCCTCTCTTCTGGCTAGGGGGGGGGGCCGAGCGCTGCGGCTAGGAAAGTACCTAATATCGTCTAAACTATAATATGTGAGCACTGTTAACCTCCTCTCTTCTAGCTAGGGGGGGAGGCGAGTGCTGCGGCTAGGAAAGTACCTAATATCGTCTAAACTAGAATATACCTGTAAGCTCTGTTAACCTCCTCTCTTCTAGCTAGGTGGGGGGGCCGAGCGCTGCGGCTAGGAAAGTACCTAACATCGTCTAAACTAGAATATACCTGTAAGCTCTGTTAACCTCCTCTCTTCTAGAGTGTTCATCTATGCCTAGCTGGACCCAAGGATTAGAACTAGAGCTTAGTCGACATATCACTTGCAGCTAAATAAAGGGAGTGTGCGTGAAAAAAACTCAATTTAAACTCCAACACCAAAAACCCTGACGACCATATATTTTACTGGTTTTAGACGATATCGACGTTTTTTCGAGCTATAAAAAGGGTTTAGTTAAAACAATCTTCCCCATTGCTTCTAATTCTAAAACATAAAACCGCACTTCAAAGAAAAATAATCAAATTTTCAAAGAGAAAATGATGTGAATTAAATTTAAATCCCTAGGCTTTCGTGTACTTCGCGCCCATCTTCTATTTCAATTGTGAACATTTTCTTTTTGTTAACATTTTAAAACAATAACAAATAAAATCGAGGATTTAAAAACAAAATCGTGGATTTGATTTGATAGAAGATAAATTAAATGCAGCCGGTAAAATCTTGAACCGGAAAATACAAAAAAAAAGATTTTTTAATAAAATCTTGGTGTCTGCACCCTATAGTGAAAATCAAATTAAATATTTAATAGGTTCCCTCCTGCAGACCATTGAAGCATATTGAATGTGAATAAAAAGGAGAACTATAAACTTCCCTTACTACAGGTCACAGTGAGCAGGGCAGGGTGCTCCAATAAACATGGGAATTGAGTGACTCTTTGTAAAAGATTTTTAATTTCCAATGTTGTTGCCTGCTCGGAAACCTGCTACACTGTTGTACTTGAGTATAGATGAACATAAACCTGTTCAGGGGTTGGCTGGGTTAAGGAACTCTAGTTGAGTATAAAGGAACATAAACCTGTTCAGGGGTTGGCTGGGTTAAGGAACTCTAGTTGAATATAAAGGAACATAAACCTGTTCAGGGGTTGGCTGGGTTAAGGAACTCTAGTTGAACTCTAGTTCGCTGGAGGGAGTTTTTTGACACTCAGGGAGACGACCATGAATATCAACCTTCAATCTTCAGGAAGGAAAAAACTAACCTTCCTCGTAATCATAAACCACCAGAAGAGCTTAAAATGTNAATCTTGAAATAAAAAATCTGTTTTATCAGTTAATACCATCGGCTTATACTTTCTAACCATTAAATTAAATTAAAATTTAAATCCTATACATTTTTTTTAAAACATCTTAACTTTTGGGGCAAAAAAACATTTTAATTAAAAACTTGTTAGATACCTGACGTTTTCCAGAGCGAGGGGTTTTAGTTCCATTTCCTGATTCGGCAAGTTTGACGATTTTAGAGAAAAATGCCTGAAAACATTTTATTTTTCTTGACACAGTTTTGATTACTTTGTTCGGAAATCTTTTTGATCTTTTCGGGTTTAGCAAAAAGCTTTCTTTCTTCATCCAGGCTTTCTATATTTTATGTCTTTCTGCTCGTTTTAAAATTTAGATTTAAGAAGTGAATCGTTGATGGAACACTACTGACCTGAAACATATCAGTGATACCCGCCCCCGTATTGGCCGAGGTTGTATAGTACGGGAATCCATATAGTTCAGCCCAGAGTTTACATTCAAGCTCATCTACTTCAAACCTACAGTAGATAGGTTGATGTGTAGATAGTATACATTCAAGCTTATCTACCTCAAACCTACAGTAGATAGGTTGATGTGTAGAGAGTTTACATTCAAGCTCATCTACTTCAAATCTACAGTAGATAGGTTGATGTGTAGATATTTAGACAGGTGGATCGGTAGATAAGTAGTTAGATAGGTAGATATTTATATTTATATCAAGGTAGATAGACAGGTAGATTAACAGGTTGAAATACAGATAGATAAACAAGTAGATAGACAGGTAGATAGACAGGTATATAGACGGGTAGATAGACAGGTAGATATACAGGTATATAGACGGGTAGATAGACAGGTAGATATACAGGTAGATAGACAGGTAGAGAGACTTATAGGTATATAGACAGGTAGATAGACAGGTAGATAGACAGGTAGATAGATAGATAGATAGGTAGATAGATAGGTAGATAGATAGACTGGTAAGTATACAGGTAGATAAGCAGGTCAACATTTAGTGAATTAAGCCTGTACCCTGCAGGATCTACATCTGCCTTGTTTGCTGCCAGAAAGAAGACGATGTTCTCGGTTCCTCGACCCTCAAGGCACAACTTAAATACAAGTTTGAACTATAATCAAGATCATACAAAATAAATATTATTTTTCAAATCAAGAGGCTCCTTAAAAATCTTTAGTTCTCGCGGCCCAAAACCATTCTTCCTCAGAAGTTTTTCTGATTTAAAAAGCAGTCAAACTTTCCTCTGGGATAATTTACCTCTCTATAAGGAAGCTCAGTGCAGTGTATTCACAACATTGCAGGAAGTATGCTGCATGCTTTTTATTCTTTTTTAAAAGAAAGGAAAAATCCAGTTCTCGGTTAGTCAAATGACCCTAAGTTGAACCTTTCTTTCCTTTTATAAGAATTTATTGAGCAGCAAACCTCATGCAATGATGCAGTATATACAGTAAACATACGAGGAACTTTTTTATGGAGATAAATTAGTCTATAACAAGGAGGTTTAACTAAACTGCCTTTTTAAATCAGAAATATAAGTTCTGGTCTAGGTCAGAGAAATACAGTCAACAAATTTTAAATTTGCAAGTTCTAAAAGGTTTTCCTTTTTTCACTATTCAAAATGACAGACCTTCAAAACTTGATCATTTTTTTATTTGTTCAGGCATATGCCCTATTAACATTTGCATACAGTCTATTCTTTAAAATAAAAAAAATAAAAAGCTTGATTTTAAAAATGGTTTGATACAGTGAAAACCGGAAAACCCTGGAATAGTAAGACGACTTTAAGAATTAAGTTGTTGTAACTTTAAAAAGGCCAATGAACATAAGACACAGCCATTGTGCAGTGTAAACAGACCCATTTCACAAAATTAGTGATTTATAAGTGCCTAGTGAAACTATTTGCTTTGTAACAACATCAAATAAACTTTAGTATTGTTATATTGATAACCAGAAAACTGCAGAATAGGAAGACGACATTAAGACAAAACAGAAGTTATAAAATCACTTATTAATTGAAATGGGTGTGTTTACAATGCACAATTGCTGTGCCTTATATTCATTTGACTAATTAAAGTCATAAGTTGAGTCTAAAAGTCGACTTCCTATTCCAGAGTTTTGTGGTTATCTGTATAATGTCGTCTTCCCATTCCGTTGTTTTTTGTTTATGGCAGTATACAAAAGTTTACGGTAGTTCACAACAATTTACCTCGGATCTAATTTCTGTAATCAAGTCGTTGAGATAATCAAAACTTGATCTTGCTGTCATGTCTAAACAGGAAACTTGATCTTTTAGTCATGTCTAAACAGGAAACTTGATCTTTTAGTCATGCCTAAACAGGAAACATCAACATACATAGTTTTAGTTTTAATTTTAGAAAGAAATCGACAAAAATTGAAATTCATCTTTTAGCTAATGTTTATGCAATGGGCCTTTATTGTTTAAAAAAAATTTTATTTAAAAAAATAATATTTTAATAGTCCTAATTACCCATTACAAGAAGAACACCATGGGCTTCGCGGTAGAATTCATTTCGAACTTCTTTAAACATTAGATTATCAGATTATCATTTAAATATCAAATATTATAATTTCAACGGAGGAATTGGTCCATAACAATTAACAAAGCACAACTATTAATTTAAAATGAAATGTTATGAGTAAAGATTGAAAAAGAATATTTAACCTCAAACTTTAAGAAATTCAAAATGTTCATCAAAGTTTGTCGGAGTACCAACTTTGGATGAATGAAAATGGGAAACTTTTTAAGTGCATATTGGGCAAGTTGCTTCAAAAATAATGAATGTCACATTCGTAAATTCCGTAAACTAATCAATTCGGCGCAGGAGGTCTATATATGCCAAATATTGGTAGATTTTGAGTTTCTATGGGCAATGCCGCGGCTGAATTTTACTAGAAATTGAAAATTACAAAGCCGTTTCAAACGAAGTAATTGCCTCATAATTCAAAATTATTATGATATATCATTACGGCCTGATATCGTACTATTTATGAATAAGACATAAGTTAGATAAAATTGTTAAAATTTAAAAAATCACAGGCTTACGCCCCCAGGTTGCCAAGATATAGGGAAAAGATTGTTCAGTTTCTTTGGAAAGTAAAACTATTTCAATTAAAGGCGACTTTTTTTCTTGTATCGATAAATCTTATATTTAACCTCGGAAGATATCTTGTCCACTTGTGTCGAAAATATGAACGCTAACCTGAACAAAATACTTTTAGAAAAAAATTTATATTTTTAGAAATATTACCATATTTTCGAAAATGAAGATACATTTAATTTAATTTAAGTATTAAATTAGTATATTTAAAGTTTAATAAGACAGTTTTTAAAATATATAATTTATCATATTCCGCGCAATTTCTTTTTTCGCCTATTTTTTACTTTAAATATTTGATGTTTGCAAATTTTCAATTTTCTTTTGCATATTAATGAATTATCTTCAGGGATATTTAAGGATCCTTTGGATACGAAATACAAAACTTTAAAAAAATTTATAAATTGTATGCGTTATGTGTTATGTAAAAAGTTACAGTGTTTCTTTATATATTGTAGAACTTAACCATTGATTACATGCAACTACAGAGCATTAGATGGCAGTCAAAAACCTGTTGTGCAATAAGTATGTCGTGCCAGTACGACTATATAAGGTCTAGTTAGCCCGGCCTGTGAAAGCTGATTAGCACTCTGTTTATTTATATCTAGTCTGTGGACTAAGGTTACCGGAAGTTTGTCCATTCTTTATTACCTGTGATCTGTCAACATAAATCCTGGTAGCTCCGTAATCTATTACCTGTGATCTGTCAACATAAATCCTGGTAGCTCCGTAATCTATTACCTGTGATCTGTCAACATAAATCCTGGTAGCTCCGTAATATTACCTGTGATCTGTCAACATAAATCCTGGTAGCTCCGTAATCTATTCCGATTGTAGGAAGATATTTTCCAACAAACCTCTTTTCACAGTAACTAGCAAAAATTTAATAAATAGTTTTTTTGCCTTAAAATATATTTTTCTTGTTTTCTGTATTATGCTGTTTAAAACCTTGACATGAATCAAAATTTAAATCGAAAGTCGTCTTTATTATATAGATATAATCACCAACCAAGCAAGTTTGCAATTTAATTTCTGAATGAAAAGATAAAAGAACCGGAAGAGCGGAATAATCGTTGTCTCAGCTAATCTTTAACTACAGGAAGAACCAGAGAAAACTGTGGAATAGGAAGACGACATTAAAGCAGTACTTTAGTGTATTTGATGCTTTTACAAATAAAACAGTTTTACTAGTAAGTTATTAATTCCCACATGAAATGAAATGGATCTGTTTTTATCAAACACACTTGCTGCCTCTATGTACGATCTGCTTTTTAAAGTCTAAACTTGGGTCTAAAAGTCGTCTTCCTAACCTAGAGTTTTCTGGTTCTCCATCTATTTCATTGACGTATCTCGGCCAATATTACCTCAAACATTTACAAAGGTTTATCAAATACAAATTATAAAAATCTAACTAAAAATAAGAGCGAGGACGTCATTATTTCCTTTCTTTATCTTACCGTTTTATAATACATGATTTCCCTACACCTTCAGCACCAGCTAGCACTATTCGAACTCGTAAAGGTCTAAACAAATTTTCGGAATAACTTTAAGTGGTGCAAAAATAGTACAACAAATTAGTAATAATCAGTTGTTAACTTTTTTCGCTTACCTATAATATATATTGGTTAATATATACCTATCTTCTATAAACATTGATTAATATTTACCTATCTTCTATATGTATTGGTTAATATTTACCTACCTTCTGTATGCATTGGTTGTTATTTACCTATCTTCTATATATATTGGTTGATATTTGCCTATCCTCTATATACATTGGTTAATATTTGCCATTTTCTATATACATGGTTAATATTTACCTACCTTCTATATGCATTGGTTGATATTTACCTATCTTCTACATACATTGGTTGATACTTACCTATCTTCTATATGTATTGGTTAATATTTACCTATCTTCAATATACATTGGTTGATATTTACCTATCTTCTATATACATTGGTTAATATTTACCTATTTTCTATATACATTGGTTAATATTTACCTATTTTCTATATACATTGGTTAATATTTACCTGTCTTCTATTTACATTGGTTAATATTTACATATCTTCTATATGCATTGGTTACTATTTACCTATCTTCTATATTCATTGGTTAATATTTACCTATCTTCTATGTGCATTGAATTTCTGTTTCTAGATTTTACAAAGGTTTCCGTAGACTCCGACTCACCCATCTTCATTGTAATAAATACATCTGTAAAATACAAAAACTAAGAGCAAATAGACATATTTTAGTGAAAAGTGGGCTAACCGAGCAATTCTAATGTTTAGAATTGTTACATTTTGAAATTTTGATATGTTAAACTTTGACTTCTGCTTTACTTCCTAGGCAATGGCTCAGAGCCTAAGTTTCGTAAGTCTCGAGGATTAAAGTAAATAACCAGGCCATGAGAAACGACATAAATTTGGACTTCTATGAATACTTAAACATCAAGTTTCAAGATTGGGTAAAACTTTAAAATGTCACATCGCATATAGCCTTTAATATTTTCCTCGGTAATTACATTTTTTTATCCCTAGACATACATTGTTATCAGCTTTAACTTTTAAGAAGTAAATGATAAAATAAGCCAATTTTCCTTAAGTTTGAAAAAGTTGTGGTTTTGCTACACACTGATAAAAATCCATTTTCAATGAATTTCACCAGAAAGAAACAGACTAGCGGAGCAATCCAAATTGTAATGCAATGAATAGTACTATTCCTTTCAAGTAAAAGTGCCGAAATATTTGAATTTAAAATATCTCCATTACTATAAAAGAACGCTACACCAATATACGATTGCAAATCACCCCGGACTAACCAGAGTGAGACGGTTTCATTATTTGAAATCTAACGTGTTTTGGTATATAATTCAACAATCTTTAAACTTACGGATTTGTTTATTTATACCTTTTCATTCAAAATGTATATGCCGACAAAATTTCAAACATTGAATCATTTAAAAATTGTATAAGCTAGGCGATTATATGTATGCAGAAAAAAAGCTTTCGTTTTTGCGTATAAAACTGTATATGCTGCTTTAGTTAAAAGTATACATATAGCCTAAAAGATTAAAACTGAGCAGTGTAGATTTCACAGCTGTCGGTCGATTTCTCTGTCCTGAATCCTGAATCCTAAACTTCCTGGAGAGAAAGCCCACGCTTTCTCTTCCCTCTTTCTTTCCTATCCTTTATTCGTGTTTACTTCTGCACTTCATTATACACAAGTAAAAAGTCATATAAACAGCTCGTCTCACAAAAAACGTACTAAGGGACCGAATAAAAAGTGGAATGGGAAGACGACTATAAGACTCAAGTTGTTATACCTATTTCTATAAAAGTTGGTACACCTTGATTTACACGTTTTATTATTGATACTCTCTGTTAACTTTTAAAATTTCAAATGACAAATTTGTAACGATAAAATTTCTCTTTTTTTCATGTGAAGTTTTGCATTATTACAGTTTCCATTTTTCGGTTGCGTAAATGGAAAAAAATTAACAAATGTCGCTAAAAAAACATCCAGTAAGTTAACACCCTAACAAGGTTCCTGCTGTATACAAAACTAGGATGTTAGGGCACTTTGCATTATATTCTGGTAACAATTTTACCTTTTTACTGTTCATTCATGAGCCGCCATCTTTTCATCGCACCATTTTAAACGAAGGTTTTCTTGGACTACTGGAATTACAAAATCATAAATAAACAAATCTTTTTTTGAATTCTCAGTTTAAAAAGATGGAATTACAAATATCAGAAAATCAACATTTGTAAAAGGCAACATGTTGCTATTTCGACCAGTCAAAAACCAATAGATGAGTCGCCACACAAAAATAGGCCCAGTCGGTTCAGCCGTTTTGACACAAAATTAATCTAAGAAGCAAACTATATATAGAAACGTGAACATACATCTGTTAACCATTAATTTCAAAACCTCTATAAAATGTCGTCTTCTACTGGAATCTCCTGTCGGAGACAGCCAAACCAAATTTTCAGCCCGCAAATTCCATTGTCCTCCTCCGACGGAGCTTAAAATATTTTTTTTTTTAGGAAATAAAGATTTTGTTATCGAATTTCTGAGACGGGGTTACTCTGTTGTGTGTATTTTGAGCGGCCTATCGGGAAAGAATTGTCTGGGGATAATTGACATCCCCCACCAGAATCCTAACCGGCCTATTTTCCTGATTTGTCTAGCGTGTTGCTGTTTTCCGTCAACAACATCATTTACTCGCAGAAAAATTTAAATCAATGGAAATTTAAACCCCCATGGGATTAAAATTTAAATCCCCAATGGATTAAAACCCCCAAGGTATTAAACCCAAGGGATTAAAACCCCCAAGGGATTAAACTCAAGGGATTAAAACCCCAAGGGATTAAAACCCCCAAGGAATTAAAACTTCCAAGGGATTAAAACCCCCAAGGAATTAAAACTTCCAAGGGATTAAAACCCCCAAGGGATTCAAAATGGTAAAACCAAGTTTGTAGCCTAAATGAACTTCGAAAAGTAACCGGATAAATTTTTTTATCTTAAAATTCGGTGTTTGTTCAACATTTTTGGAAAATAGATTTCCATGTGGGTTGATCCTCTTCAGTTCTTGAGGTTTGTTTCTCATGAAGATTCCTCAACTTGGCCGTAAAATCAAAACTATATGAGATTCGAGGTTTTAAATATTGGTAATGTCGCAAACATTTGACCTTCTCCTTCTGTCTAGTTCAGTGTGGTTTATCCAGTTTTTCTAAACTGTTGATTAATGTTTTGAGTTTTGAGTGGCTAAATTTATTGAATTTGTTCATGATGTTTATTGAGTATATAACAATATTTAGCCTGACTTTTACGTTTTTACATTCAAAAGAATGTCGTCTTCTTCAAAAACAATGGATTTAACAATAACACTTTAATAATAACAAACACATACATGGACAGTAAATTAATTACAATTACAATTTCTAGATTTCTACAGTTTATCAATGAGTATCTTTGGTAGTAATGATACAGCGGGACCCTTAAAATTGCAGACTATAAAGACGAAATTTCGAGTAGTTTGAAAGTGAAATGGGTCTGTTGTCACTGCGAAATTGAATCGTTTCATTTTCATTAGAATATTCAAAATCATTTCTCGAGTTTTCCAATTCCACAGTTTTAAGGGTTCCGCTGTATGTAGGATAATAAGAATCAAGCGTACATAAAATAAAAATATATGTAGAAATGATATCTTTTAAAGCATATATATATGCATAAACATGCCTTATTATTTATGATGCCCTGATAATAAATCATAGCACAGCACTGAGCCATTTTTTAATTTTACCCCTTGCTTTAAATATTTAAATTTCATTTATTTAATTTACCGCCTCTTGACCAACATTACCGACCTATAATTCCCCCAACAGTGGGAGGTTAAGTTACTTAACCTCCCTTTGGACAGTTAAATTGGGTTTAACTTATAATTATTTACAACTGCTTTTTCGGAAAATTTAAAATTTTACTTAACCACGGGTTTCCTTGACCAATTTTGTCTACAAAACGTCCCTCCCTGCGCTCTGGCTATTTTTTAGACAAATTGGTCTTGGGAATTCTTTTAACTTCCCTGTACAGTAGTTGCAAATAATTATAATTTCAACCCAATTTAAAATTTACAAAAAAAAGCTGCGACATAAAGCTTGTTGTTTGAAACATTAAAAAGGAATGATTACGCAATTAAAATTAAAAATAAAAGATAATTTTTACTACTCTCTAATTTCTATTTTCTATTTTAATTTCATTTCTTCAGTCTTCTTTGCCAGGTCAGGTTCATCTGAAATTTAGTAATATTTATTTTTGATTAATATTTATTTTCAATCAATAATCAAATCATCTCTTATCAGTTTTTAAATCAACTATAACTATTATTTAAATCATGCTTGGTTTTGATCAAATATATGCCTCGCAGCTGTATGAAGAACACTGTTCATTGAACAGGGATATAATCGTAATTATATTTTTGTATAAGACATATGGTTCTTGATGACACTCCATCAACATTTTGAAATATTTTATTTTTAACTTTAATTTTAAATTGACGATTAATTATAATATATTACCCAACATGGAGGAGGATCCAAAAGATGCAACAGTTTCCTGTCTTCTTAATCGTATGGGCTTACTCAAATGGTACATCATGGAAAACCTTGAGAGACAGTTACTTTCATATTAAAAATGTTTAAGAACAAATTAAGTCGGATAAAGATATGTTCATTACTAGTTTTATTTTAATTAGATAAAAGATCAGAATCAGGACTGAGAACCCAGAGCTGGGATTGGGAACATTTGTGTTGGTTGTTCATAATCCCGATCTTTTGGCACTTTTAGTTTTAGGGACTATAAAAAATCTTTTAATTTTAGGGACTGTAAAAAATCTTTTGATTTTAGGGACTATACATTTTTTGGATTTTAAGGACTATAAAAAATCTTTTTATTTTTGGGGACTATAAAAATCTTTTAATTACAGGGACTATAAAAAATCTTTAAATTTTAGGATCTATAAAAAATCTTTTAATTTTGGGATCTATAAACAATCAATAACATACTTATTTTTAGCTTTGAATTTTCAGAATTAATTGTATAATTCAAGTCGATTTTACAATCTGTCCATCTGATCAGTTTTCAAAAGTTTTTATTATATTTAAACAAAGACCTAAAGTGTAATTTAGGTCTTTATAAATCTTTTAAATGTAAAAAAAATTCTGAAAACATGAAAAACTACGGTGGTAGACGATTATATCAATATAATAAACACGACTTTCGATTTAAATTTTGATTTATATCAAGCTTCTGAATATTTGCAGGATACATGCACCAACATGGAAACAAAGAGAAGCTGGTAATTATAAAAGATTCTCTTTTTTTTACTTGTAAACTTTTCATTCGAAAAAAAGCTTGTTAATAATTAAAACTCAAATAATAATTCGTCTTCATTATATTGATATAATCGCCTACCACTAAAGAAAACTCTGGAATAGGAAGAAGACTAAAGAGCTGACACAGCAATTGTTCAATGATTTCGGCTTTTTCTGGTTTTCATTGTAAATACATTTGAATTTCATGAAAAATTATACTTACTTGTCGTCTTTGCTTTGTAAGCTGGGGATATTACGCTGCTGTGGATTATATTCAATACTGTACCCTCGTCTGAACAAATAAACTTAAATTACAAAAATACTCTATTCCGCTGCTAAACGATAAACCCTGAATCAATAACTAATGATGTCTGTCCCTGTAATTTTTTGAACCACCTTTTGAATAACATTAAACTTTTTACTTCACCATTTGTTCCCTTGGCCAATTTTGCCTACAAAACATCCCTGGCTACGCTCTGGATGTTTTTTTGGCAAAATTGGTCTTAACCCCTCACTGTGATTTAATGGTCTCAATCTCTCAAGCAAAAATCGATGGGAATTTTGTCAATTACTTCAATAAAACCAAAACTAGCAACTAGTTTATAGTGTTAAAATGTACATGAAAATGACTGCAGAAAAGTAAAAGAGAATTAGAATGGTAAAATCAAAGCCCAAGGCGTTGCAACACTTCAAAGTCGACCCTATCTTAAAAATTGATGAGCCATTTTATAAGCAGGCTGAATCTAAGTGCCCTTGGAAACGTAAAATTCCTTTTACTTTAGTTTGTTTTAATCCTTTTCAATGTATGTAATACCTGGAGATAAGAGAGTTCATAACATCTATATGATTGTAACTATTTCCTTTTAACACAAACCTTTAAAAAAATTATATAAACCATTTATAAAATTTTGAAATGGGTCAAAGTGAAAAAGTGGATGTTTGAAACAATTCAATGCTTATTGTGTGCAGAAATGAAGGTTTGCTTAAAAACATATGAAAATGCAGTTTAAAGTTTTGTTCGTTATCTATGATGTCATAAAAATGCTTTTTCTAACTGGGTTTTTTATTTCTTTAAGTATCAAACTATACATTTATCCATGAGCAACATTAAAGGTAAACTATGTAATCATTCAACTTTGATTATTTGCCGAATTGTTAGATTTAGATTAGCAATAATAATATATTCAAAACATATAAAGCCGCCCCTAACTAATTCCCCTATTGTTATTTAGACCTCAGAATTATTATCAGGTCAAATTATGTTTATCAAGAAATATAAAAAAGGGAAACATTTTTGTTTGTAAATGTCTTTATAATGATTTATAGTACATATGTACAATGAGAACTAGAAAAGTGTGGAATAAGAAGACAACAACATTGTGTAAATACTTAAAGGGAGTGTTCGCGAAAAATGAAAGGGGGTATAGGCTTACAGCGGAATATTGTCAATGGAGATCGCTACTAATCTTACTTCTATCTGTTGCGTCTATAAAGAGAAAATTGTTAAAAACGACTCATACAAATTCAGAAAGTTCAAAAGTTGCAACATTCGAATCAGATCTTAAAAAATCAATTTAATTCCAAACAGATCATTGAGATGTTACACCCAATAATCATCGATAATTTTTTGACGCACTCGTATATAGTTGATATTTCATAATATTTTTGATTTTTTTAAAAATTGATATTTCGCTTACAACTTGTTTTCACGGCTGACGCTGGATTTTAGAACACTACTGAAAAATATAACAATGTCGTCTTCATTAGAAAAAAAATCCTCGAAACCGAAATAAAAGTTTAAAATAAGATGTCAAGCTTTGGAAAAATTTCAGAGAATTACTTACTAACCTGCCATCTGAGCTGTCCAACAAACAGGGGGGATCAAACCCATTATATTTCTGCTCTAAGGCCTGCCTGTCACCAGCATCTAACCCTTAAACATTATTTTTTATGTTAAGCTGACCCCCAGCATCTAACCCTAAAACATTAATTTTTTATATTAAGCTGACCTCAGCATCTAACCCTTAAAGTTTAAACATTTATTTATTAATATTAAGCTGACCCCCAGCAGCTAACCTTAAATATTTATTTATTAATACTAACCTGACCCCCAGCATTTAACCTTAAACGTTCATTTATCAATACTAATCTGACCCCCAGCATTTAAGCCTTAAACATGTATTTATTTACATTAAGCTGACCCCCAGCATCTAACCTTAAACATTCATTTATTAATAATAAGCTGACCCCCAGCATCTAACCCTTAAACATTCATTTATTAATTTTAAGCTGACCCCCAACATCTAACCCTTAAACATTCATTTATTAATATTAAGCTGACCCCTAGCATCTAACCTTAAACATTCATTTATTAATATTAAGCTGCACCCCTAGTATCTAGCCTTAAACATTTATTTATTAATTACTAAGCAGACCCCCAGCATCTTACCCTTAAACATTGATTTATTAATTACAAAGCTGACCCCCAGTATCTAACCTTAAACATTTATTTATTAATATTAAGCTGACCCCCAGCATCTAACCTTAAACATTCATTTATTAATATTAAGCTGACCCCCAGTGTCTAACCTTAAACATTTATTTATTAATATTAAGCTGACCCCCAGCATCCAACCTTAAACATTCATTTATTAATATTAAGCTGACCCCTAGCATCTAACCTTAAACATTCATTTATTAATATTAAGCTGACCCCCAGCATCTAACCTTAAACATTTATTTATTAATTACTAAGCTGACTCTCAATATCTAATCCTCAAACATTTTAAGTAATTTAAAGAGATCCAAGACTTGTACAGAGATTGAATCATGTTTTCTATAATAAATATTAAATACAGTTTCTCTTTAAAAGTGGCTTGCAGTTTTATTGAGAGAAATATAAGGAAACTGGAAATTATCTCGTTTTAAAATAAAAACACGACATTATCTTCAATTCATCCAGTAAATAAAAACAAATAGTGGTTTTCAAGGTCTTTATTGTTAAAAAGTTTTATGATGGCCCATTATCTAGGCATGCTAAGATTGAGAATCCAATAATTGTATGTCTATTCGATTTTTCTGCAAAATTAAAGTCACGTCATGTGAACTGTCTCAAGCTAGCGAACTCCGTAAATGCGCAAAAATTACACTGCAAAATATAAAACCTTATTGTTTCAATTAAGGAAAAGTGTTTTGATCCTACCTGAGATAACAATTATATCTGATTTATAAGATAATCCCTGGTATCTATGCTGTTCCGTTATCAAGAAAACCCAGTTCTTCCCTTCAGACATTCTTCTATTTTTAGCAGATTTTTAGTTTATGTTATGGAGATGGTTTTTACACATATAATAGCTATTAAACTATAAGAATATATTTTGAATAGTGAATATTGAATAATATTGTCAGCTTCATGAAGTAGAGCCAATCTAGGCCTCCAGGACTATTTATGATCAGCTGACTCCAGTCATACAGCCTCTATGTAGAGCCTCTAAATAATGTTGGAAGATAGGATAGATAGATAGATAGACAGATAGATAATTAGATATATAGGAGTACAGGGTTCAGGGTACAGAGTACAGGGTACAGAGTACAGGGTACAGGGTACAGGGTACAGGGTACAGGATACAGGGTACAGGGTACAGGGTACAGGGTACAGGGTACAGGGTACAGGGTACAGGGTACAGGGTACAGGGTACAGGGTACAGGGTACAGGGTACAGGGTACAGGGTACAGGGTACAGGGTACAGGGTACAGNTACAGGGGTACAGGAGTACAGGAGTACAGGAGTACAGGAGTACAGGAGTACAGGAGTACAGGGGTACAGGGGTACAGGAGTACAGGAGTACAGGAGTACAAGTATATGACGTACAGGCTAGTATGGTATGCCGGCCGGCGTGTCCAGAGAGTCCAAATCGTACACGGTACAGAAGAACAGGGTACATACAGGGTACCGCCGGTAAAGGAGTATAGTTTAAACAGGAGTAATTGGGTGGGCCGTGCAGGGAGTGCAGGAGTCTAGGGTACATGTACAGTACAGGAAGGATTAACGCAGTGTGAAAGGCTAGATACAGTCAGTTTAAAGAGGTACATGTTAGAAGTAGAACAGACGTAGTTGGGTGCCGTATATAAGTATCGAGGGTATAAACCACATTAACATAAATTAAGAATTTATGAATTTACTCATGACTTTCTAGAGTCAGAATTCTTGAATTGGAGGCAGCCTTAAAAATTTTAATTATTTTTTGTTAATTCTTAGACCGTATCATTTGAATGGAATGCTATTTTTAACCCGTTTTTAACGGTTGAAAACAGCTGCACGTTTCCATAACTTTTTACCAAACATTCTTTTTGTTTTGTTTTTTTCTAACCCCTGGATTGAACAATATTTATCATTTATAAAGTAGATGCAAACAACACCCACCGGGCCTATTCATTGGTTAGGGAATATTTATATAGGAAATTTGAGAACATTTTTAATCAACAATGTTTTGGAAAATCTTTTCTCGCACAAAGCGACACAAAATACAGATCTAGGCACCTAACCGGAAACCCTATACATACGTATGACATTCGTATTTTGTAACCATTTCCTTGGTAAAAATACGTATTTTATATCCGAAAAAAGGTATTTGACAAACGTAAAAATGCGTATGTAAAAAACCTAAGAAATCCAATGAATCAGGAATTTTTAGGTTTTTCCTGTACGTAGATTTAGGTTTGAAAAAATCCCAACAATTCTTAATTTTTTGAATTTATAGGTTTTAGCTATACCTAAAAATACGTATTTTTAAGGCATATTCAAGTTTTAAAACCAAAATGTTATAAAGAAAAATAATTTTGCATGCACATTGTTCCTTCATATCTATACAACTAATTTCACAAACTTCATAAATCCATTCATAGATATCAATTATTTTCAATCCAGTCCAATCCAACATTATTCTACACAAATTCACACCATCATCATTCCTTCATCTGTATACATCTAAATAAACATTAATAAATGCATTTTGTCTGTTTTAAGACTGTCAAAGTATTACTTTTATTGAACAAAAAACCGAGAATTTACTGACATTGATTCATTCGCGTATTCAGGATTTTAGGCGGGGGGGGGGGGGCATGGGTCAAGAATTTTTTTGCCCACCACTGGCTGTCTTTTTGCCCCCTCCCCTGGAATTGTTTTGTTCAAAAAGTCAAATAACACCATAAAAATACACCAAAAAGACTACATTTTTGAGTGTTACTAACCTTATAGAGTCTAAAAATTATTCCTTTGCTCGAAAAACTAACTTTAACTTTTTTAACTTTATAAATTTATCACTTTATTTACAACTAAATATACAACTAACATATAAGAAACTCAAGAGCAGCTTGGTTTTGTAACAGCTTACTATCAGAGACTCAAAAGTGCAGCTCGGTAATATACAGCTAACATATCAGAAACTCAAAGAGCAGCTCGATATTTTACAGATAACATAACAGAGACTCAAGGAGCGACTCAATAATTTACAGCTAACACAACAGGGACTCTAGGAGCAGCTGGAGTCAAGAGACCTTAGAAGCAGCTACAGTAGCATCCAGAACTGCAATTGGAGATACTGAGCTGGAGCAGCTAGGCAAGATATCTAGCTGAGGGAGCTGCTTAATTATACCAGAGAGTTATCAATATCTGAGCACAATGTAATAAGATAGAATTGAACTTAAACAAATATATTTGTATCAATAAAATATAAACTAATAAATGAATCCTATTTATTCATACTCTGAGATATAGACATAGAACTATATAAACTATATAAATAACTAGAAAGGGACAGTTTATGAAATTGGTACTGGGATCGAAAGTGAAGCCTTTGCATTAACCCTTAAAAGAGGAGGGGCAAATGGTGGACCTTGACGTCCCAGGATTTATATTTGAATGATATAAATTACAACTTTATATGCATTACAATTGTCAGGTGTTACTTTTTAAACGTAGTTTCCTTTTAATTTTCCAGGGGGGGGGGCAGGCCCCCCTGGAACTCCCAGGGGGGGCAAGAGGACTACTTCCCCCCCTGAATACGCCACTGCATTGATTCTAATGAAAACATCAATTTACTC